AAATGTGGTTTCAATACTGAAAATCTTTATGACAGCCTTCAAATATATTTTCATCTCTAATTATAAAATTTAAAGCTTAAATAATAGTGTAGATCAAGCAGATCTATGAAAACTTGAAAATCTTGAGTATTGATGGTCCAAAACGAATTACAAGATACACTATTTTCAAAACTTGCATTCCATTTTTCTCATGTCCATTCATCTTGATGTCGAAGTGATCAATATGAGGATATTTGGGCATCAAAACAACCTTCCAGTGAAATTTTTTAGGTGGGCTCTAATCTGATTGTTTAGAGCCTATGCTCTATATAAACGTTTCCCTTCAAGATATGCCCTTTTCATATATTCGTTGAATTGCAATTTTTGCAATTTTGGGCAACATTGCATAATAACTTTGGTTAGCATTGAATAGTATGCTAGTGTATGGAACCAAATGATATGGTACCAAACAGTGCATAATAGTTCTTTGATGACTTTTTCTTATCATACCTTTGAATTTCAGCTTTGTTGGGTACTGATTTCCAAGGCTCTCTTTGTAAATCGACCTACTTTTCCGTGCTACCCAGGTTACTATTCATGCTGTAAAGATTGCCACTTGCAATCTCAGCCTCCTGATATTAGAAAGGTCTAATTTTGGAGATATCTTAGGGGTTCCTTAGATTAGATTTTGGTTAATTTTAGGGCCCACTTGCATTCGTCTTGATAGGGTTTGACCGACTACTCCTATCAGTTATTCGATCGTGTGTTTAGGATTAAAATCGATCCTAAAGCTCACGACCTTTAATTGTAAGGTCCCCTAACGTAAAATATGAGGATTCTCCAAAATTGACCTCAATGTTGTTAGCTTTCCTGCAATATTCTGACTTTTTTGACAATTTTCCATCATTGTATATGTTATTGGCTTTCTAATTCCCATCAAAGTGGGTAACCCTTTGCTTTGGTGCTTGGCAGGTCATCATTGGCTAGGAACCACCATCTACTCTGCCTTTGAAGGGTTTTTTTAATAAAATGAGGCACTGATTTCCTATCCCTAGGATTTAAGCCTGTTTTCGAGAACGGTCGATATGTATGGTTCAATGGATGTTCTAATACCAGAATACACCTAAAGAACAAATTTTGTAATCCTCAAACCATTAGATTTATGCTTCTTGAGCCTTTAAGAATGGCCGGATCTGGTCCTAAAGGTGCTACTAAGCTTGAGCCTGTGGAATTGAGGGGTCCAATTGTAGGGTCTATTGAAGTATCCGAATAGGCATCAATCAGCATTGAATCTACTGTAGAAGCTTATCGAACCGGACAAAGAACTTTCAACATATATGCTACCTAAGAGCGATTAGCAGGAATACATTTTGCTGCCTTCATTTAGATCCACCATGTGAAACCTGTCTAGTTTGACTAGATCTTGATTCATGAACTTCAACGCATTGGAAACATCTGTTTGTGTCTAATACTTCAAAATTGTTGGCTTTAGGGTCAATTAAAGCCTTAATACAATACTACAAAAGTAATATCCAATATACAACCCTAATTTCTTCTTTCTTTCTTTCTTTTTTGTTTTTTTTTTTTGAAACATCCACAACATTAAATTGAGGCTACAATTTCTTGAAACAGTGGGAACTGCAGTAAGAATTTGTGCACAATGTATTTACTGTGGCAAGTTGCACAAGTTTTGAGGCTGAACATTGTGAATGTATTCTGCCACTATGATGGAATGAAATTATAATAAAGTTGTGGCCTCAGCAAGTGCAAACCACAAAAAAAACAAGGGCCCCAAACTAAGAGTTCCTAGTTAACCATGGCCAAGAGTCATAGGGAGCCTTTAAGCTCCGTATTTCTCAAAGAAACTAAGAGTTCCTAGTTAACCATGGCCAAGAGTCATAGGGAGCCTTTAAGCTCCGGAAACTTCTCAAAACAACTACCAAACTGCGGGAATGATACTCAATGATCTTCTGACAAACTGAGAAGCTTGTTCATAGTCCAATGTCTGAGTATCAAAACTTTAACCGAGGTCAAAGCATAGCTTCTAAGCCTTGGGAAGCAGCCAACCTAGAGGTATAGAGATAAGGTCTCATATGAGTCAGAGCCACTCAAAAGCAAATCCTAGTCATAGTAAGTCATGAAAACCATAAACAATCGAAGTCGCAAAGAGAACTCTTCTCAATAGAACAGCATGCTTAGAGTAGAAAAGCTCGTTCTTTCTTGAAAGAAAGTTGCTTGCGCTTCGATGAGATCGAGAGTCATGGGATGCTCTCACTATCTACGAAGTATTAGATGCTCTCAACACAAACTTTCTCTGTAATGCAATCAAGTCTTAAGCATGTAATCTCTTAGGATTAAAATGGGATGTGAGAAACAATTGCTAAAAAACTCTCAGAGCTGAAGTCTCTTGAGAGCCTTCAAGGGACTAAGGAGCCTGAAACTGTTTTGCCTATTGGCTAGAATTGGTACTTCTTGGCTGAGGATCGCAGAGAAGCGGAAATACAAGGAAATTGTTGAGAAATCACATAGCCCTATCTTCATATAACCACAATGAAAACTCGCGAGAGCAGAGTTTCGCATCTTTGATTGCATTTCTTTCAACTTTTAAACTCAAATGTGGGGTTTTATAGACAAAAAATCTAGAGTTCATCTATTATAGCTACATGGGGCAAGAATCAAAACTACACCATATGTAAGATTAGGTCATAATCGTGGCAAAAATCTGTCAAGAAACCTTTGGTCATCCGAACTCTTTCAGCAAATATTAAGGGGGAAATTTTAATTTCAATAGATTGAAATTATCCCAAGTCACTGATAAACAAAAACATTAACCCAAACAATCTTGTAATTAATCCAAACAATCTTTTGTGATGATTAGACAAAATAGCTGATTCTTTGTGGTTTGAAACCAAAGTCTTCACACTCTGTTTAGGTTGATTTGAAAAATCAGATGAATCGGTTTTACGTAACAATTAAAGTTTGGAGGAATTTACTACCAACTTACAATTCAAGTTAAAGAATGATTGATACATCATTACTAATTTAGCAACATAATTACTCAGCATATACGTGGAGATTATGCAGCAAAATATAATTCAACTGAAAGAACAAAGAAAAGGGAAAATTATATTTTCTAGGGCATACAACCCGCCAATATTTTACAAATCACACTCCTAACCCTAAAATTTTTTATATTTGCAACTATCCTCAAAGTAAAAAAAATCGACAATATTTTTACTAAAATACCCTCCTTTTGGGCTGTGGTTTCTATTCTCTCTCTCTCTAAGCTGTTCTTATCGAGTTTGGCTCATACCATCTAGGAATGCTCCAATTTTCTGTCACATTAAAGGCATTAAAACAACAGGCCTAATACCTGTTTACAGTTGTGATTAGTAGCAAGATGTGCTATTACCATGTATAACATTTGGCCAACTGCATGTTACATTTTTTTTTGGATGGATTTGAAAACATGGTTAATAATGTGACCTTGGATTTGCATTGTTGTTACCCGAACTCTGGTTTGAAATAAATATGAATTTTGAGGCATTTAGCCTCTCTAGGATGCCAAATCCCTATCCAAGAAGGGTTGCAAAGGGTCCAAGTTGAAAAGAATAAAAATAGCTGCAGGCAGCTGGTACTTATTAACATCTAATATTGGATCTTTGTAAAATACATTTTGCTTTGTTTGCTTAAAAATTACAAAACTCACCCCTCCCCTTCCCCCCCCCCCAAAAAAACCCAAAAAAAAAAAAAAAAAAAAATTAGTACTAATTAAGCATCCTCCTCCCCAACACTTGCTATACTACACTAGTTACCCCAACACTATTTTTCTTTGTAACTAGCCCTACAAAGTAAAAAAGTTAATTTTTTTAGGCCAAAATACACCCATAGGTTTTAACCCATGATTCCAATTTGCGATGCCCAACATGTGTCAGTCCGGCATAAAAATGTGTCGATTTGTCTGGCACAAAATCTGTTGGACAGGCACAACTTGATATAGAGACAGTCCAGCATATTTTTGTGCTAGACTGTCACATGTTGGGCATCACGTTTTAAAGTCATGGGTTAAAATGTGGGCTATTTTGGTCCAAAAAAATAACTTTTTACTTTTGGGGATGGTTGTAAAGAAAAATAGGTTGGGTTTAATAGTGGCATCAAAAATATTGAAGGGGGAGGATGCTTCGAAAGTACAAATTTAATTTTCCCAAAAACTAAGCAAAGCAAAGGAAAATCTATTTTATAAAGATCCAATATTAGATGATAATGTGTGTCTACAGCCTGCGGCCATTCTTATTCTTTTCAGGTTGGATCCTCCGCAACCTTTTTGGAGAGGGATTCAGTTTCCTATAGACGATAAATGCCTCAAAATTCACCTTTGTTTCAAACCACGGTTTGAGGCACAAAAACTCAAATCCAATAACACATTATTAACAATGTTTACAAATCGATCCAAGAAATATGTCACATGCAGTTAGCACGATGTTATACAAGGTAATAGCATAGGTGTTGTTGCTAATCGCAATCCTTCCGGTGTATGGCTTCTAATGTGACAGAAGATTGGAGTACTCCTAGATGGTGTGAGATCAATTGACAAGATTCCCCTTATTCATGTCCAAGAGATTAATACAGATTCCATTAGCCGCTCACAAACAAATTGCTACTCCTACACAATATTCCCAGCAGTCTCTAAAACAAATGATAGTTTTCCAAATGTAGGGATGGCAACGGGTCGGTGTCATTTGGGCGTGGATCCTGCACTTGGATTATGAATATTTTTTTAAAAAAAAAAAATTACATTGTATAATATATATTCAACATATTTTATACCTGGTTGGGTCAGGGGCGTGTCGGACCCGAACCGACCCAACCCGACAAGGTCCAAGCTAGACCTAGACCCGAAACGACCCGCCGGGTCCAAAACATGAACCTGGATCTGTACCCGATTCGGATGGACCTGAATTGCCACCCCTATCCAAATGCAACATAAATAATTATTCTAATTCTCCTAGAAAACCAAGTTGTAAAGAAACCAATTTCACTTTGGCATAAATGGCTTAACCTAACATATAATAGAGAATTAGGGATAATAATCTTGCTTCAGCAAACCATGTCTTACATATATGAGAACTCTATCCATGATCTAGCATTCAACTGATGCTAATAAAAGAGATGCCTCTTTCTATTGCCCAAAAGCTCCCGAAAAGATAAACAAGCTTTTTCCTTGTCAACAAATTAAAACTAAGTCCAAGGTGCATGCATATAAAGAGTCTTCTCCCCAAACCAAACTATTTCAGGTCTAACAAACAGTGCTACTAGATTTTGTTCAAGGTAGTGCATCACCTACAAGAGAAAGGGGAGATATCATTAGTATTAAGACATTTGAATTTCTTGAATTTAACAGTATGAAATAGATAGCCAAGAATTTTAAATAGAAAACCAAAACTTCTTGGATTTAATACCATGAAATAGATGACCAAAAACTAGAAATAGAAAGCCAAAAATCAGAAATAGCATGGTGAAACAAACTTTTTAGGTGTCTATTTATTCTGCTGAAGATTGGGTTGGATGGGTTGCACACGAAATGCAGTGAGAGCTTGCTGAGGATAATCCCTTCCGTTCTGTTGGTTTTGATACCTGCGCTCCGCTTCATCACCACCTTCAATCTGATGCTGGTTTAGTGAAACGAAGTGTTGGTCAGTCGGGATAAGGCTCCAATGATGATGAAAGTAAGCGTTGGTCTCATCTCTTGGTGTCTTAATCTTAATTTGAAAGACTAAAACATGCAAAAGGAGTTACCATTATGTACTTCAATTGTTTGTTCTGATCTTCGAGAATCCTTTCCTGAAAAAGAGTAATCTCACACATCCATTGCTGATGCAGTCGCCCATGAATTATTTCCATAAAAGAGAGAGATGGATGTTGGGGTTATTACATTATTGGTTCAACATTTAAGGGAGAGGTGAATTACTAGATATTTTTTAACAGCTGAGAGAAAAGGTGAAACTACATTATTTTCGAGCATCAGAGAGACAGAGATAACATTACGTTGTTTTTTAGCATCTCAGTCCTGGTGCGAATGTGTTCCATCTGTAAAGCCAGAGAGAGAGGCAAAAAAAGGTTGAGGAACCTGGATATAAGAGATAATGTCTCTGATCCAATTCAAGAAAAACTTTAGCAGACCTGTTTAGCACGAACACTGGAGAGGCCCATTTGCAGGGAGTCCTCAATCCTATTGAGTTCATGGGGCGTCAATGAGTTGAGATCTTCTCCCATCAAGTGCCTTCAAAACAAATTACACATCAAACCCATATGCATCAGTAAGTAATTCAAAAGATTTCAGACAATTTAAAATCCCAATCACTTGAAATTTAACTCTGGTCACAAAAAAAAAATTTGAATTTACCTCAACTCAATCCTCATCTGTTCGTTGTCTTTCTTCATCCTATCTACCTCTGTGCTCAAATACTACACCACCACCCATTACTCGCAAACAGCCGGAAACAGCAATGTAGAGAGAGAGAGAGAGAGAGAGAGAGAGAGAGAGAGAGAGAGAGAGTACGTACTAGAGTACGGACGTACTACCTTACTTTACCTTACGTACGTACGTACTCGTACGTTACTTACTTACGTACGTACTACTTACTTTACCTTAACCT